CCCACTTTTTCAACCCCCTTAATCAAGTTGGTGGTTTCTATACGCTGACACAATATTCGTAAGTGGTTATATTCCTTTGTGGCTATTCGGGAACCATTAACTCTCAGTAAACCGGTAATTAACCCCTATACGTCTGTGTTCTTCCTCCTCCTCCCCAGGCTACATGCACCCGGGCTTCCCAGGGTTCGCCGCCGCAGCCGCCTATGGACGTGCCAGCTTCCCTCCCCTGGCTCCTGGCTACATCACCTACCCGACAGGTATGGAACTTTTACACCTGGCGTCCTGGTACCCAGAGGCCCATCTAGGCTTTTGAATGCACTCTCTCTACAGGTTTTCATGAACACAGGTCCCTCTTCCTTTTCATCATGTCCTTCCTCTTCGTCGCTTCTTGAACCCTCGGCTTCGTCGTCCTTCCCTTCTCGTCGCCATTGTCGTCGACGGCGCGGTCGTCGGTCCTGCAAGTGGAACGAACACCTTCAGCCGGATGGAAAGTGGAACAGCGTCATGACGTCCTATTGTTTATGTGTACGCAGAGTTTTGCAACCTAAAACACAACTGGCTGACAAGATCGTGTCTCTATTTTTGCCCTCCGGTTTTTCTTCTTTTTTTCTTTCATTTTTTAAATTAAAGTGTCTTGTGTTTGTAACCTTGCTTATGTTTTGGCCTACCAAAGTGTTGGTGAGTTCCAACAATCTTTTCATATTTTGTTGTTTTGGTATTTAAGTGCTCCTTTCTCTTTTTGTTTTTTTATTCCACCAATCGTACATGATATGTTTTTTTTTCTTCTCTTAAATGTTATCCCCAAAAAGAAACCGACGCGATAATCATAAAAAGATTTCTTCCTCGCAATTTTACGTCCATATATATATTTACTTTCAGTGTTAAAAAAAAACAAAAAACTAACTAAAATACAAGAACAATATGTCTACCGCTTTACACCCTGTCACTTGCACTCACTGAGGACCATGGTTGAAGTTCACCGGCGAAATTATTCATGTGACAAGCTGTAAATTTTCTTCTTTCAAAAAATGACTTGACGGCAGCAAGGAAACAAATCGTCTCGATCTTCCTGGAGAAAATGGTTGGTCCTTCTGACTAACAAAGTCAAGTTCAATCTCGTTTCATCTTTTGAACTGTGACATTTTAACTCTTTTGTAGCCGTGCAGCAAATGATCAAGTCTTGTTTCACTAAGAGAATGTTATGAAGGTTTTAAATGTGGGGAACTGTAAGATGGCGTTTGAAAAGTGTAGGTGATGCGACCGTGTCATACACGCTGATCGGTATTGTGCAATAATGATTATAATGCTATTATTAATAATAATAACAATAACTTATTGTTCCATCCTTGTCATTTTTTTCATTGTAAATAGGAGTACCATAGATGTTGTCAAGATAATGCAATCATTTGACATACCTCTCCGTTTTACGGCACTATCGTGCTGCTCATTCAAATTGGCGACATCAGTTAAATCCATCTTATTTATTATTTCTAACATATTAAATTTTCAGTGATATCGTCTATGAAAAACTTTAAAGCAAATTATCTAACAAATTATCTGTGGCATTTGATATTGATGTAAATATGATATTATTTATATAATATATTATATTTATTTGTTAATTTATTCATTTTTCTAATTTTATTTATTTCTTATTTATTTATTTTATTTTTTTTATTTATTTAAGCAGTTACCTAAAACGTAGCAAAACTGAACTCTTTTTTCTGCTTCACAGCAATGGTTAACCTTATACGAGATAGAATTAATGGTAGCTTATTGGGGTTTTGGTAGTCGTGTTTTAATTGAGAACGAACTAAGTACTATCTTTGAAAAGCTTGTAGCTAGAGGGTTAAGCACAGCAAGCACTTTCAATTAAATGAATATAGCAAGACGAACTTTAGTCACAAAGTTTGCACTTGGTTTTTGAAGTATTTTTCACTCATGTAGTATACACATATATTATCATATCCTTTTGTAGTGTGTTTGTAATTAGTTAGCCTACGTGCATGTAGTAATGAGTGTATTCTTAAGACTTTAATATTGGAAACTGTTATATGAATGGTTTACTTTGGTATTTTTCTTTTTGTGAACGTACTTTTTTGCGTGCAGTTATGATACAATTTGACAAAGCGTTGCACGTTGTAAGTGCTATGCCCTTTGATCCTCCCAGAGTTGCTTTTTATGATACACCAGTGGTTTTACTTTTCATTTTTTTTGTTCCATATAATCCCTCGGGTGTCAAGGGGAAAGTCACTATGACTAACATATCATTGTACTGACTGTTTCCGATAAAGATTTTTTAAAAATCATTTTTTTAAAAAACTTGGTATGACCACCAACAAAAGTTTTGAACTTTATGGTATACTTTGTGGACAAGGTAGGTTTGACTTTTTCAGTACCTCATAACGTGAAAGAAAAATTTATTATATTTTAGCCATTAAGTGTTTAAGAATTTGCTTGAGTCTGCGTCGATGAAATGTTTTGCTTATATGCTATTTAAAAAGTAAAACGTTTGTAGTGAAAGATGGAACTTTTGGCAAACGAATTAACCTTTGGGTGACTGATTTGATATTCAGACATATCTTTAACCATTAGTCAACAAACATTTTTACGTTTCTATGCGAATCATTTCTTGGTTAACCCGCCGGTTGCATCATCATAGCAGAAAATGTACAACTAAAGATGATTTTATTCAAAATTTCGATTCTTCACTGTTCTGTTATAGTAACGTTTTAGGAAGAGTTTTACGTCACTTGCAACAGAAATAGGCCATATAGGTACTGACGTTTATACGTGCTTCTTGCAGTTTTGTCTAAATGGGCCGTTATACAAACTTATTTTAAAAGTGCACTATTCACCAGTGTCCGATCATTGACAAAGAACTTTTGGGCTGGCAAAACGTTATCACCACCTGTCTCCATTACGCCTTTGATGCCTCATTGACATCACTGATACGACTGGATATCTTGTATTGTCTTTCCCTTTTTTTTTTTTTTTTTAGAGATTTATGTATGTGGTACACCGTTACATGAATCTGATATTCATTGCCCTCAATTTATATTCAGACTAGATTGTTGTGTTTTACTATACTTGATACATTTCTGGATGCTTTTTTCCTTTTGTTTAACACATTTCTTTTCGGTCTGCCTCCCGAACATAGTCTATGTATAAAGAATAGTTTGACGAGAACTTCGGCTTATTAGCATTATAGAATACAGTACTACAGGTCGTAGTATCAGAAAAAAAAAAGAAAAAAGACAGCAATTCTTATGAGAAATGGGATATGGCACCAATTTGCCGATTTTCCGTGAGTTCTGTACTGAAAGCAGGTAGAGTTGTAGACTAAAAGAAATCGACTGTTATGAAATAATGACACACTACCTCGTCTGAATGTGAAGCATTTCAAAGTACAGAAAAGAAGACTATCATATTGTTGAAAATGGCTCACAGTCATAACGTATGGCATGGCAGTCATGAGCTGAAAGAGAATTATATCTTGATTCTTCTTTTTTATGGTCTTTTTATCGTTATGTCTAAACTCACATTGTCTGATGTTTACTGAATTCATTGTTTTCATTCATCATCACCAACTTAACCATCCATCTACTTGTGATATCTTGTATAAAACTGCCACTAAATTATTTATTCTTCTCCTATAATGTATTTATAATCTGTCTTTTCAACTTATTAACTGGTCGACGTACTTAGGGAAATGTATAGAGCAACAAGTTTAAGACCAAAAGACGGACTCTCCTTGAAAAGCATATTTCTCTTTTAGAAATTATTATTATTCTCTACAATGCGTTTTGATCTAAAATTCTTTGATTCTCTGTGGCCGTTCAATTTCCCCAAAGATATACTTTTGATAAGATCAGGGTCGATAAAGAGTTTTTACTATCTCTTTTTAAAACAAAACAAAACTCCTGAAATGATTTTAATCAAATAAATACAATTGGTATTACTGGTGAGATCTCAGTACAAGGTACCATTGTTTTAAAAATTATATTGACAAGATCAAATTTCGATAACATAGTAAATTGAGTGATGGGTGTTCTTTAGGTGATGCTTTGCAGCTGTGTTAATGCCCGGTTTTGTTTCAAGTTAAGTCTTTGCTCATTGGCATGTTCTAATACGGGGATATGGCTTCGCCCGTAACTGATTCTCCCCTTATCATGTATCCAAAACACTTTTATAAAAGAGTCGTTCACATCCCTTTTCTCTGCCTCTGTCCTTCCCCTTGTCTCTATGTGTATTTAAATTGCGTTGCCATCACCCGCATAATTATAATCATGAATCTACTTCCTTCCATTGTACTTTCTGGATGTCCTGTGTGTCTTTGGAGTTGTCTTGTTTATATTGTATATGTGTATGCGTGGAGACGACAATCGTTTTTAAACTCGACTCTGTCAACAAGCAATAAGGACTTAAAGAATGCAATCCATTTGATTCAGAAAAATAATTCCACTTCGTGTTCATAAAAGATTTAACATTACAGAACTTCTCACATTTTAAACTTGTTCATCTATGCGCTCTGAACAGTGTCCCTGTGTTCGTCATAAATATGAATGCCAATTCTAGTGCCATACCACGGACAGTTGTCACTGCTGCATTTGAATTTGCAGGAAAACATCAGGAAAAGGAATCACGGTGTCTGATTTTACTGGAGGGGAGGGGGGGGGTGATGTAAATTATGGTCGCACAAAATATTCTGGTCAGCAGTCCTGCACTTAATATTAAAATATTAACTTTAATATCAAATTAGAGTTGGATCTACATGATGAAAACACAATCTTCAAACCTACTTCCATTTTCCGACACGGTGAGACATGAGCAATCGAAACCATTTTCTCCAATCACAACCGGCTGTAACACGTATAGCACTCACTTCCACATACTGCAGTCCCCTATACAAACTGCAGTCACCGACACAATATGCCTACGCATATGGCTTTCCTTCACAAACGTAAAAGGTAACGGTAATGTGATGTTATAAGTGTGGTTTTAAGGAAGACGTAAATGTAATTTGATTCAAAGAAGTGAATAAATTAGCGTGCTGTAAATCAAAACGCATTGTAACATGAACGAGTCGATATTTCTAGTGTGCAAAAGAAGACTCATGTAACCTTGACGAATGCAGTTCTCTTCACACCGTTTATCATGCTGGAGGAGATATTTTAAGCGTTAATCGAAACCGAAATTATTATATTGTAAGCTGGTCAGTTCAGCACACGAGATTTTTCCTCGTATCGCTTTTTTC